GCTCTCTGCAACTTCACCGGCGCCGACCTGATGCGGCTCTCGCGCGACGACGTGGTGCAGCTGTGCGGCCTGGCCGACGGTGTGCGGCTCTACAACAGCCTGCACAACAAGCTGATCGTGCCGCGGCTGACGGTGTACGTGTGCGTGCCGCCGGCGCCGCTCTACCACGCCTTCTACCTGTACCAGACCACCCACTCGGAGATCAGCCGCAAGCTGGCTGCCCTGCTGGGCTGCAGCTCGTCCCAGCTGCGCCAGGTGTGCGTCGAGGGGCCGGGCGGCGTGCCCGTGCTGATGACAGACGAGGTGAGTGGTGAGCCGCACAGCGCCGCCGGCCGCCCGCCAGCACTGAGCCAGCACTGACGGGCAGGGGAGCACCCGGACGGGCAACACTGACGGGCAGGGGAGCGGCCGGACGGCCAGCACTGACTGGGGCAGGGGAGCGGCCGGACGGGCGACACTGACTGGGACGGGGGAGCGGCTGGACGGGCGACACTGAGTGGGACGGGGGAGCGGCTGGACGGCTAGCTCACTGACTGGGACGGGGGAGCGGCTGGACGGGCGACACTGACTGGGGTGGGGAGCGGCTGGACGGGCGACACTGACTGGGGCGGGGAGCGGCCGGACGGCCAGGGCCCAGGGGGCCGGCGTGATGAGTGCGGTGTGGGAGATCCGCCATTTATTCTTAGGAGTTTGGTAATGTGAGGAATAACAAGTAAGGTTTAAAAGAATATTTATATGCATTGTACATTTCAGTACTTTATTGTGTCATCAATTATTTTGCCTTGTGTTACAATGACCTGACTCATAATTTGAAGACTTGCATACAATTTGTTCGAAATGCCAGTTCTGCAGCTTTCCTGGACACATTTACCATGCTCTTTTATATGTCTGTTTGCTACCTGCAGATATCGACACGATTTGCCGATGGGAGGATTTTGCATTCAATCTGGATGTTTCACGCATTTTACTTTTCACAGGTGGTGAGGCATCTTCAGAACGAATCTCTGTATATGATTGAAACTATACCCGGTGAGTGTCACAAAGTAGACGGATCGTATGCGGTGTATATTTCAGTGGTCAGTGGTGCGCTGCTGTAGTCTGTGCTAAAGGAGATTGGTTAGAAAGTCACTGATTAGTGATATCTTTAACGGAGACTTGTAGGCATAAACCGTCCCATGTTTAGTTTGTCATGGTGGTTCATCTCTTCGTTGATCATGGATAAAAAGCTCATTGCAGGTTTAATCCAGAGTGGATCAATGTTTTCTGGTAACCCAGTTATCATCTTTTTCCTCGGTGTCGGCTCTGTGCTTCCTGAACGTGCACGTTTATGTCAGTCGTGCAGTACTCTTCAGTCGGAGACCGCGTCTGCCGTGCCTCCCTCCCCCTCATCCTAATCTGACCGGAGGGCCGCCCCTGTGCCGTTGCAGTGTCTCAGGAGAGCAGCGACCGGCTGGACCTGGTGCTGCACCGAACTGTGACGCGCAGTCCGCCGCCCAGCACCGGCGGCGGCGGCGGCGGTGGACCCTCTGCCGCCAGCTCGCCTCTCAGCAGGCAATAACTGGCGCACGGCGGGCTGGCCCCCGCACACAAACACAAACACGTACACACACTCACACATTGCTGCTGGCGGAGCGTCCCGGCGTCCCGGCGCGGCGCGTCTCACCGTCTGTCTGTCCGCGCTGCGCGGCACACCGGATAGTGAAGACCAGGGAGGTGGGGCCGCACTGTGGCCGCCTACTGGAGGAGCAGACACCTATTTTGAACCGTGACACGGGTCGGAAGCAGGTACCGGAATGAGCGAGAGGCGACTCACAGTACCCTGACGTCAGATGAACCGGTTAAAGGGAACTAGTCACTCAAAAGGAAGGAATCTTAGTTGAGCGAACATCGTTGCATTTACTTTGGTGAATCCCCATTTTGAAAGAAATGTATTTTCTTTTCTATCTGAAACACATTTTTGAGTTAGAGTAGCGAAGCAGCGCGGGTCCAACTATTGGTATATCAGAGCTACTAGCGACGAGTTTCACTAGAGCGTTGGGCTTTGCTTGCCTTACGTACGCCTCTGGAGCGCCGCAGGCCAGAGCTGACCCCGGCTGGTCTCATTCCGTGCCGTATTAATCTAGTGTCGACAGTGGATTGACCGATTGCGAGCTGTGTCCTCGACTGTGACTGGATAAAAACATCATCATTGATAGCATTGTGCATGTCGCAGTTATGAAAATACATTGTCGATTAATGTAGCTTCAGAGTTCAGACGCGGTCATTTGGCGGCATCAGTTCATTATACAGAATTTCATGTAGTTTGCATCATGGACGTGATCCTGAGATAGTGACTAGTTTCCTTTAACTCTGGGGGCTGGCGTCGTTGCTTGGCTGCAGAGCTACTGATGTATGAATACAGTCTTGGGTGGCTAGCTTCTGATATCGGCTAGCACCGGTCTGGAGGCGGCTAGCACCGGTGTTCAGACAGCTGGTGTCAGCCTGAGGGCGGTCAGCGGTGGTCTGAGAACGGCTGGTGTCAGCCTGAGGGCGGTCAGCGGTGGTCTGAGAACGGCTGGCGTCATCCCGAGGGCGGCTGGCGTCAGCCTGAGACAGCAGCTGGCGTCATCCCGAGGGCGGCTGACGCCATCCTGGGACAGCAGCTGGCGTCAGCCCGAGGGCGGCTGGTGTCAGCCCGAGGGCGGCTGGTGTCATCCCGAGGGCGGTCGGCGGTGGCGGGTCTGTCCCGGGGCAGAGGCGACCGGCGCAGTCCCGGGGCAGAGGCGACCGGCGCAGTCCCGGGCGCGCGCACCAGGCAGCGGTGTGCCGTGGGACGCGGCGGCAGGGGAGGCGGCTCGCTCGCACCGGGGGGACGGGGAGATCGGGGTGCCGTGGAGCACCCCTGGCTGTGTGGTTGCGAGGCTGTTGGGTGTGCGCGGGCGGTCCAGTCTGCCGGGTGCGGAGTGGACCGGCCGTGAGAGCGACCGGCGGCGCCGGAGCCGGCCCGCCAGCTCACCGGCCGGCCGGCCGGCTCCGGCGCGCCTACACAGGGCCATACCGGTCGTCTGAGTATCCCAGGTGACTTCAGTGTGTGTGTGAAATCATATACGTACGATGTTTGATGGTGCAGTGTTTGTGTGTGCGAGTGTGGAACAGCGGTTCATCCGTTTCATCGGTTCGGCTCACCAACACCGTGTTAGTCGAAAATGTCAAAACTTGCAGTACAAACAGAGTTTGCGGAAAAAAACGCAACTGCCTACAAAAAGATACGTTCTTCAAATATTTCGCAATTTGATGCTATTTTAGCAGCCTGAGCCATCGCTTAGTTTTAGGTGTGCTGATGCTTTGTCATGTTTGATGTCAGTAAACGTTCAAAACGATTGTTGGTATATGTTGCCCTTGTCAGGTAGTTTGTAACCGTTGGGGTTTTCGGCATGCTAGTATACATAATTTTGATTTGAGTATTGTTATACTCGGTATTTAGCAGTTAAGATATGGCTCCATCGAGGCTTACTTCACGTCAAAATTGTGAGGATCGGTTATTTCATCCTTGCAATTTTATATCGTGAAGTTGGCTTCGGCTTTCCTGTATCGTCGCGAATGTTGCGCTTCATGTCGTGTGCCATATGTTCTGTGCAGAGATTACTTATTGGCGTTTTCGTGTTTCGGATCTCGCGAGCCGGACTCACTCGAAACAGATTCATGACGCCGCTTTGACCAACTCGCGGACCCAATCTACAAAGCGATTGAAGACTTGTCAGAATCATGGCGCCCACTAAGCCCCTCGGGGAATACAGATTGAGTGTTTCATACTTGTTTACGTGACGTCAGACGTGTACGGGGCAACCTTGTGCCGCGCGTCCGGCCGCCAGTTCCCGATATCCTCCGTTAGCAAATCCGTGCAATGGCCCCGGGCGCCGCCACCGGTCGGCCCCGGCCTCCGGCCAACCAACCAGCCGTCCAACCGGCACCGTGTGTGCTCGCACTCGCTCCCACACACCTGACCAGTGCGTCGCTGGACGCCTGACTGCGCGCCGCTCAGCGCTGGAATACTTGGCGAAAATGTCTGCTATCATTTGTTGTGTCGCATGAGAAGATATTTTAATATATCTGCGCTGTCAAGTGTCGAGTGTCAGTGAGGCGAGGCTTGTATTTAAATACCTACTTTATCGTAGTGTCGAATATGGGGACACAAGCACAGATAGGCATGACTGGCATGAATCGCGGCGCACAGGAAGTCCGTTTGTCTCTACATAGTTACTAGAGCGGTTCGCGGCCAGTCGGTCACCGTCTGGGCGTGACTGTTTTCATTTTCCAGTTCTTAGGCCCTGATGCGCGTAACTAACGAACCCCGCGTTACCGTTCCTTCGATGTGAGCCAAACCAACCAGAGCTGGAATCTGGATACTGCTGGAGCTCATGCATAATTTAGGCCCTCTATGCATAATGTAGGTATGTATAAAATGCCTCCATTGAAGGTCTCATCGGGTTCGAAACCACCATGTGATGGCTCCCCAAGCGACAACGGCTGGGCGCAACTTTCTCTATTCCACGCATCGAATTTCCCATTGTCTACGCCTAGGATAAGCTAATCTGTCCTCGAGGCTTGTGGGACGATATGCGTTCGATTCAGCAAACTGTAAAAGATGAGGGTTCATGTAGCTGAACTCAAGATTACTTTGCTGAACTAAGTGGTAACGTTACCTTTGGTGATTTGGCGTGAAATGGAGAAGAAAGTACAAAATGTGTGGATGATAGACAAGCGGGAGCTGCTTTCACAAATGTACATTGGTGTACATTGACTGAAATATATAGTCGCAGACACCTGACAAGTGACAACCAACGAACGAGGGCGGCCTGTCCTTGCTACTCTATGACGTCAGTTGATGAAACCCATGACATGCAGCACTTTAGTGCCGAGATGTACCGATGCGGCATTCTTGAAACAAAAGCGCTAGGAATGTCTAACACAAGTATAACATGTGCGCTGTTGGCTGCTGGGAGGTAAGAGAATTTAATTATTATTAGCAAGGCTATTTACAAGGCCCTATATGCCTATACCAATGCCTATATTTATATGGCTATTTATAAAATTATTGGTTTCTTTGACAAATAGCTCTTAAATAGATCTACAATCCTAATTGTTTCGGTAAGTAGGTACTTGAGATTTGAGAAGAACGTGTAAGTTAGATTGTCTGATAATGTGTTAGTTGTGTGTTACCTTCCTGTTTGGGTATGTGATATTTCAAATCGTGCAACTGTAATTGTCAGCTGTTATTGCAAGCGAGACAAGTTTCAATACCTTTATGTTGGAAAAATTGTGCGTGTGGGTGGCCTGCCTGGCTTGCGTGTTTCATTTTGGCAACAAAGGAGAGGTGCTACACAGGGATGCCAATGCTTGTTTTATAAATAAATCAAACCAAATCCAATGGAACCTAACTTAACTTGACCTAACACCTAACTTGACCACCTAACCTAACCTACAACATGCAACCTACACCTATGAATTACGATAGGCATACAATGGGCCAAAACATTAAATGGGTGGCCTGTTGCAAAACCTTGACCGGTGAATCACGATGTATGCATCCTAAACAACCACTACGCCACCGAGCCAGCTGATGGGTTCGAGGTGTAAGCTAGTTTCCAATGATGCAATGGATTATTCTCTGGGTAGCACCTCCCCTTTGTTGCAAAAATGAAATACCCACCTTGGCGTGTAGAAAAAGAGTAACATTTTGTTGGTGCTTATGTATATCTCAGCAAATGGTTGAATTGCAGCCTTTATCGTGTTGGTGAATTGATATTGTACCATGCTGTCCAGGCTCCAGCCTAAGTTATCAATTGATTAGTAGCTTAGCATGGGCTGCTTTACAAAAGTCAGTTGATAAAGAACAATAACTTGTACTAAATCTCTATGAAATGAAGTGCCCATATTCAACATTTAGCAGCATTTTTCTTTCAGACGCTACTGCAAAATGCAGTAGGTGGTGTGTTATGGCCTCCGAGGATTCCAACTGCTCTCAGAAGAGCTCAGGAGACCTGCTGAACATTGGAAAGCAGCCTGCAGGTGTTGAGTCCTTGCTACTCTTGAAGAAGCAGAGAGCTCAACATCAGTCTGTTGAGCCCGAGCAGCGTGCTACCTTCCGAGTGCCGGCCAGCTCTGTGCTGGACCGCGTCCGCTCCTTCCTGCCGCGCATGCGCGAGGCGGAGGCGACGCTGCAGGAGCGTGTGGCCAGCGAGGGTGCCGACGCCGTGTGTATCGAGGCGGACGACTCGGAGCGGCCGCACATCGAGCTGAACCTGGGCCTGTGCGAACTGGAGTCGGGCTCGGACTCGGACTCTGACTCGGAGTCGTACTCGGACGGATCAGAGTCGGACGCGGAGCGCGCGGCGGCGCCCGTGGGTCCGGTGACGGCGGCCAACCTGCGCCTGCCGGGCGGCGGCGGCGGCGGCGGCGGCTCCCGGCGGCTGGTCACCGAGGTGGGCCAGTCGCGGCCGGCGCCCGCCAGCCATGAGCGACACGGACAGTGACGCGGCCGGCTCGGAGCCCGACCTGGAGACGCTGAGCCGGCGCGCCGCCGAGGCCCGCCTGCTGCGGGACGCCGAGGCCGGCCCGGCCCGACTGCGTGCCGGCTCCTCTGGCAGCGAGGACGGGGACGCCACGGACAGCGGGCCGCCAGGTGAGCCCTCTGACATAACCAACAACTATTCTATTTGATATTTTAAATGTCGTTTCCGATCAAGCGTTTAAAGAACCAGTACATATTATAGGTACATATTATGTTATGTCGTTTTAGCCATCGGAGATGTAACACAAGATATACTTGCCCGTTTGTTGAATGAAGAGTTCATACTCTATCAATATGTTATCAAGATACGTGTAATAAGGCAATCCTTGACGGCACAGTATCTCGTCACATCAGAAGCGTTCGCTATACGCTTTGCTAACCTGGACGCGTTTTCAGACTCTCCCGAGGAGGAGATTCTGTGGGCGGCCGAGCGCGGCCTTTGCGAGCGGGTGTCCCAGCTGTTAAAAGAGGATCCGAGTCTGATAGGTGCCAGAGACGGCGACGGCTACACTCCGCTCCACCGCGCCGCCTACAACGACCACGTAGCAGTAGTGGAGGTAAGGATTCATAACTGTGGTGGGAGGGATTTGAATGAGTTTTATCTGGGAATATTTTTCTCGTTGTCTCAGTTATCCCCTGGTTATTCCATTAGCCTCGGGAAAGGAGAGCCGTGTGCGGCACAGACGGTCCGTCATCTCCCGTTCCGACCGGCACTGACTGCGTCACCCTCCCCCGTCCAGCGCCTGCTGTCGGCCGGCGCGGACCTGTCGGCGCGCACGGCCGAGGGCTGGACGCCGCTGCACTCGGCCGCCCGCTGGAACTCGGCCGGCTGCCTGCCGCTGCTGGTACTGCACGGCGCCGACGTGAACGCGCCGACGGCCGGCGGCCTGACGCCGCTCATGGTGGCCGCCTCGAGCGGCGAGGCGCGCGACACCTGCTACCTGCTGCTCACCACCGACGGCGTCCGACTGGAGGCGCGCAACGACAGCGGCGACACGGCCGCCGACATCGGCCGGCGCACGGCCGCCATCCAGCCGCTGTTCGAGCTGACAGAGCCGTACATGACGGACATCTGAGCGCTGTTCAGGCAGACCGAGCCGTATATGACGGAACTCCGACGGTTATTCGAGTTATCAGAGCTGTACATTACAGTCTCTGAGGCTGTTCGTGATGAGTCGTGTACGTTGTGGACCTTTGAACCAGGCTGGTTCATGACGGAGCGGTGAACAGAAGACGGGAGGTGAAAACATTCCTCTAGGCGCGAGCCAGCTGGTGTACCGTGTTGATCCCGAGTGGGGTATATTGGCCAGGTATACCCGAGTGGGGTCCGTACTCCCGAGTTCGGTCATGCGGGACGCTCGCCATGATTTGCGGCCGAGAGCTACGGATGATCGGTGCCAAGTTTTTGTACCGTGTCTGGTTCTATGATCTTTGTGTGTTGTGGATATAAGGTAATACATTCTCGAACCTGTCATAGGACTGAAAGGATATATGGACCATAAGCACCTGTCGCCTCATGCTTCAATAATTTTCGTAATCTGCCAACTAACTATGCGTTGTATGTCATTGTGCTCACAAAGCAAACCGTACAAATCGTGTAAAGAGGCCAGCCGCAGAGACTCCTACCAGAATTAAATGATAGCAAAAAATCTATTGACTAATCAAGCCAGTAACATCACATGAAGTCAGTGGGTGTTCGCGTATGTATGGGCATTTCGGCGTCGAGCAAAACCACGAGAGGTTCTTATGTGTATGTATTGCTCTCTCGACGCAACTCGTATCACACCCATGATCGGTGGCAGGGTCGGACTGAGCAAGTCAATCTAGATACGCACTGCTGCTTCTGCCACCGATTTAAGGCATAAACCCTGCGTCAAGAGAAGAGAATTGTGCACTGAGTAATCATTGAGAGCCTATCACCGTCGATGCACGGACGCGAGCCACAACCGCGACCCTGCCGGCGTCGCGACAAGAGCACGACGCCGAACAGAGCGAAACATCACCGATTTGATGCTAGAAAGTCGCCACGCGCAGAATTAGCCCAACAGCGCACACTCCTGCCACAGCTGCGATTCTGGCCAAAAAAAAAAAAAAAAACTACCTACGACCCCCAGCCCCACTCAATCAGGACAACCGACGCCTGTTCTGCACCACGCAAAGCTCGAGACGCATCCATTGGAGCTGCATTTATAGCTCCTCCACCACTGATCACCAGTGGGCATAATGATAGCACGCAGACGCACGTCGCAAGCTCTCACATATGCTCACTGTCAAATTACTTCTAACGAACAACCCAACCATTGCACGTATCCAGTTGGCAGTCAAATCGATCACACATCAGTCTTCGTGACTTCCGAACGGCACTCACTGCGTACCAGTCTGGTATGCTCATTACACACCACTGACCACACAATCATTCGAACAGGTACAACTAACGAATTCAAGAGGTCTGAAATTCACGCGTCCGCCTCAGTGCTAATAGCATAGTAGATGCTAGCATTCATTGAGACGCGCTGCGCTACCGACCATGAACACGAGTTCATCGTGAACGGTAGGATGTAAAAGTGCATAAAAATGGACCAGGTCATTGAGCAAATGAAAC